CTGCTTACTGCTCATCACCCTCACTGACATAAAAAAATACACTAAACTGTGTATAGAGGAGATTTGACAGAGAATCATTACAGAACTTGGAGTGTGTGTGTGTGTGTGTGTGTGTAGAATGATGTTATGAGCCATTTTTTCCTTCCTGTGGCGAAAGGTCGTAATGTGTGGTATTTCACGGTTTTATATAAATCTTGGTTTAGGATGTGGAACAGACTCAATAATACATGCGCTTTTGGCAAAGAGACTCCTACGGATCCCCATAAATCAGAAGCAATATGAAGTCCCAGCGAACAAAAGAGCAGAAACATTTAATTGCTGCAAAACGGGACTCCCCGTCTCCTTGAGAGGGAGATGCATGTAAATTCCCTCGGTTCCTATCTTCACGGTTAGAGCTCGGCCTATAAAACAGGTTATTACATTACAGCCGGCGACCAGAGTGCCTGAAAGGCAGGGCTCCCCGCCCCCCACCCAGCCCCTCCTGGGCCTGGGATGGGGGGACCCAAAGTTTGTCAGATGCAGAAGAAAACGCGGACTGGGCTGGGGAGGGAGCTGGCAGGGCTGCGTAGGAAAATAATTAGCCAATCCCACATGTGCCCCCGCTATTGGGGCTGTTTTGGAGGCCCCAGAGTTCGCTGCGACTCTGGAAAAAAAAAAAAAATCAAAAACACAGTCCAGCGTGCAAAGACCGCCGGCAACCTGGGAACCCGAGCACAGGGCGGGAGCCAGGGGCAGTGCCCCCTCCGCAAGCTCCGAGGAGGGAAGGAGGCGGGAGGCCTCCGCCCGGCGCCGTGGGAGGGGGTGCCTGGGGCGGAGGAGAGGGGTGACCGCAGGCGGAGCCGCCGGCGTGGCGCGCTTCCCGGAGGTGCGGAGGGCGCCTGCCCTCAGGGCGTGCCTCCCGGGAGGGCTGGAGAGGTCGGGGTTGGCGGGATCCCAGTGGCCAGTGGGAGGTGCGCCCTCCGAGGGGGTGCGGGGATGGGGCCGGGAGGGTGGTGTGGTTGGGTAGCCCTACAAGTCCCTCTCCTCCTAGAGATGCTGGGATGGGGAAGGGGGGTTGGGGGAATGGGGAGGCGGGGGCAGCGTTCCCGGAGGCATTGCTGGCGCACGGGGCTGGGAGCTCAGGGAACGCACTGGTGTCCAGGCCGGAGCGAGCCGCAGGGAGGAGGGAGCGGGCCGGCCCCGGAGCGCTGTGGGCGACTCCCCAGGACGGCGCGGCCCCGACGCCGCCCGCCGCGAGCCGTGGGGCGTCCGTCCGGTGGGATCAAAGGAGCCCGAGGAGGCCAGCCGGCGCGTCTGGAGTTGTGGGATGAGGGGCGGGAAAGGGAAGATTGGATCAGGCGGGGAGAGAGCCTGGCCTGGCCGGTGCCACCAGGAGAGAGGGCGTGTGCGCGCTGCGTGGGTGTGCGGGTCAGCCCGCCCCTGGTTGATGGAGGTCGAGCCCTGGGTGGGTCCGAGTGCGGCTGGAAAGGCTCCCGGGCGGGTGACCCGCGAAGAGAGGAGAGCGAGCGAGCGAGATCAAGGGCACGGAGGCCTGCGGGTTCCTCTGTGTGTGTCTCAGGCCCTGTGGCTCCGGACTGGAGCCGCCTGGCACCCACAGGAATGCGGCTTCTCCCGGCTGCCCAGGCCGCCCCTGTTCCACAAGGAGGTGGCCGCCAGGAAAAGGGGAGGGAGGGGGGGGGGACGGGCAGAAATCTGCTTAGCCCAACACGAGCCTCCAACAAAGGCTAATTTATCTGATCTTTTTGCAGCAGGGCCAGCAGATTGGGGGCCTCCTGGGCTTTGGAAAGGGGGGGATCTGAAGATGGGGGTTTGGGAGTATGAGGGTTTGTGACGAGGCTCACGGAAAAGAAAATGAACGCTTGGCGTGGGCCTGACCTCTTGGGAGCACTGGGCTGAGAGCGGGGCTCCTGGGGACGGGGAGAGGCAGGCGGAGGGCCAGGAAAGTGGGGTCGATCAAGGATCAAGGAATCTGGGTGGAGCGGGTATACGTTTACATTAGATGTAGGAATAAACAATGGAGAGAAAGAAGGAGGGTGCGGGGGGGGGGCGCGGGAGGGGAACATCACACAGATATTTTTAGCCTTCGCGGAGGATCTGTTATTTTTACATCCTCGGGCGCAGGGCTGCAGGGAGTTAAATCCCCCTGGGAGAATCCCCATGGTGCCAGGGAAAACCCGCTGCAGACTAGTTTGGCAGAATTATTTTTGTCCACGGCTCCCAGACCCAGTTTAAAAAAAAAAAAAAAAAAAAAAAAAAAAAAAAAAAAAAAAAAAAAAAAAAAAAAAAAAAAAAAAGCACACCGCGCGAGAGAAGAGGCCACTGCGAGTGGAAGGAGTGAGTGAGGTTAGCACAAGCGGAGGAATCCTGAAACCAAGTCTGCGCGCGGCGTCCTGCCTGGCCGCCTCGCAAGGCTTTGGTGTCTGTAACAACAAGCAGAGTCAAGGCTGGAGGTGTGTGTGTGGGGGTCTTTAAAGAAGACCCCCCCCCTCTTCCTGGGAAGAGTCCAAACTCGCAGTTCCCTCAGCTTGACCGTGCGGGGTAATAGTTAAAGGGGATCCCCTTTCCAAAGCCTGGGATGGCGGCTGGGAAAACATCTGCCCTCTCTGTGTGCAGAAAGGGCGAGGGCATGCTCTGAGCACATCCTTGCCGCCCTGGGGCAGCCGGGCAGCCGGTGACTTTGTGATGATCAGTGCGCCCCTTCCACGTTCCCAAACGCACCCCGAGGCGCCCGCGCAGGGGAACGCTGACGCTGGCAGGCGGCGGCCAGGGTTTCTCCCCGCCGGATTCCCTAGACAGAAAACTCTGGCTTTCGGTGTAATGGAAACTCCTAAAACCCTTACAAGCAAAGAAAGAAAGGCAGGAAGTAGATGCCTTCACTTGTCCCCTTCATCCTGTTCTCTGCCAGCGCAGAACGCAGCGCGTAGCCACCCAAAACTCCTAAGAAAGGAGAGCCATGACCCGTGGGAGAGACGGGAGGCCCACACCGCAGGCTGCAATCGGCGAGCCGACCCAGACCAGGCAGGGTGTTGCCTAAAGACCCTTCCAAACTCTGAGTCCCCAGAAGGCCCAAGCTGGTCCACACTGGCAGGCTGGAGAGGAAAGAAGAAAAATAAAGGAATCCTGGAGAGAGGGAAACTAGGGAAGGAGAGGGAGAGAACACAGGTAAATTCCCTGTGGGGCACACAGCGTGCCTTTTCAGGTCTCTCCTCCTAACCCTGGAAGAACCTTCCTAGAAATCCTCAGCTGACAGGATGTAATTTTTATGTTCTAATCTCTAACCCTCCCTTACCCCCCCCCCCCCACCCCGCCTTTAAGAAAACTCTCGTCACATTTATTGCCGCAGAGGACTTCCCAGCTGTAAAATATATCTCCTGTATCTTGTAATTTCCAATATACAATTGCCCTTGGTATCCCAAGCAAACAGAGGCAGGTGAACTAAATGACAGTCAGAAAGACGCCTGCAATCCTGCCCGGAGCACAGCTGCAGACCCGGCTGTAGCTCTGACCGCAGGGTTGATGCCTAGATGCACCCGGTGGGGAGAAGGACCCGCACAGGCCTAGGTTGCAGCAAGTCTTGCCTCTCCGCCTCAAAGAAAGCTTCACAAAGGAGCAATCCCTGCATACAGATTCAATTTCCCATCGTTTGGAACCTGCTTTGCCACCGTTTTATGTAAAAGCAAAGCAGAAGGAACTCCTTCCTGCAAAAAAACCAGAGAGTGGTAAAGCAGGGGAAGAAAAGATTTGTATTTAGAGCATTATCTCGCAGGAAATGAAACCCACACAGGGCCGCAGTGCTTTCTTTTTCCAGTCCCCCACCCCACAATTCCCCCTCTTGGCAGAAGAATAATGCCCCCCCACACACACACACACCTGCCTGCTTGGCCTGCTGATTCAGGCCCATCGTTGTTTTCAAATCCTGGGATCCTTCCCTCTCTCTGAAAGAGCTCAGATACATTTATAATCATATACCAAGGAGTCCAAGGCACTACTATTTGCCTTGCTGCAAACATTTCAGATTTTTAAAAAAATGTAATAAGAGGGGAACCCCCCGCCCCCCCCTTCCCCCCCCCCCACGCCCTAGTTTTTCATTTTCTCATCTCTGGAAGCGCCCTTTGAAAGGAGTGTAATTTGTCTAATTGCTCTAGCAATACACAGAGGCTGATGGGGAGGGCAGCTCTCCACCATAATTGCTTTGAGCTTAGAATTCAGAGTGGTTATTGAGGGATTTCTGCCCCTTTCTTACACACAGGGTGATTCCAGCATTACTGTCTACCTGAAACAATTTGGGGTTAAACTTAAAAATTACCTAAACGTCTTTGTAGTTAGGCAAAAAAAAAAAAAAAAAAAAAAAAAAAAAGCCCACCCAAAACACCTAAATATATATCATACAGCAGTGCTATAAACAGGCCACATATGCATATAGGCATAGAAAGCAACACTCAACATATAACATGTAAAGGTCTGCATCCATGCAGCTCCCAATTTCTATTTTCCCTTTTGCCTTATTGGATCTCTGCAGACCTTCTCTTTCTTTAATTGCCGGCATAAAGCATGGCTAGCCCATTACAAGAGGGGGGGGGGCACGAGCAAAGAAGTATTTTTTTTAAGGAACATTTTGCTTTCATGATCGAAATAATTTTATTTATCCAGAATATACAGTTTAACTCCTCTATCTACACTTATTTACATGGTTAAAACAACATTGAAAAAAGTCTCTTGAAAAGTTGAGGTCATAGATTTCAAGGCACCATTGATAGTGTCCACAGTTGCGCAAAAAAAAAAAAAGTGTCTGTAAAAAAAGGAGGGGGTCAGGGTCCTTTGAAATGCAATAACTTACATGCAAAAAAAAAAAGCTTTACACATGAATCTTTTTTGTTTTGTTTCCTGTTTCCAAACTTCCCCATATGAATTCCTTTCTTTTATGATTTTTCTAAAACAGCAAAACACAGTAGTCCCAAAAAAAAAAAAAAAAAAAAAATCAGCAAGAGAAAGCGGCTGGTCTAATAGAGCGTCCCGGAGGCCAGCGCCAGCGGGTGCTGTAAGGAGCCCGGCGGCGGCAGGTGGGAGTTGATGGAGCTGGCGGCGCTCGGGTACCAGGAAGCCGAGTTCTCCAGGTGGTAGCTGGACGCGGGGGACTGGTTGGAGGCCGGAGGGTGGGCATGAGGGTGGTGGCTGAGCGAGCGCGACGAGCCCTGAGGCTCCCACACCGCCGGAGACTGCGGCGAGTTACACGCCATGGGGTCGCTGGAGCTGGGGCTGTGCTCCGGGGGCATCTCCCCGTTTTTCATGATCTTCTTGATCTTGGATCTTTTGTTCTGAAACCAGATTTTCACCTGGGGGGGAAGGGGGAAGGAGGGAGGAACAAAGGCACAGGTTACCGGAACACTCCGAGGCATCTTCGGCCCCCCGCGGCTCTGGGCCTTCTGTCCAGGGCCTGGGCCCAGGCCCGGGGCGCAGCCTGAATGTCCGGCCCCAGAGGGCGCCCTGGCGGGATCGGCGCGCCGGAGCCGCCGCAAGGGCACGACCCCAAGGCTGTCTTTTGTGTGGCTCGGAGGCGCAGGCTGGGGGCCGCAGGGGGAGGGAGTGGGGGGGGAGGGAAGAGGCGAGTGTCCGGAGCCACGTGCGCGCACCTGCAGGCCCACGCGGCGCGCACGGGACGCGGCGCCCATGTCTGCACAACCGCGGCCGCGCCGTGCCCGCCGGGGCGGTGCAGCCGACACCGGGAGCGGAGCGCGAGTCCCTGCAGGTAGCGCACCGGTCCCCCAGGTCCCCGCGCCACTCCTTTCACCCCCCTCCCCGGCTCCGGAAAGGTCAGGATCCGCCTGCAGCCCCGGGCGGTGACTCCCACATTCTTTCTTCTTCTCTGAGGCTTGGAGTGGGGGATGATGGAAACAGGACCCTCCGGGGAAGATTTCCCCCATCCAACTGCGCCCCGCTGCTCCTCCCCCCAGCACCCCTCTGCCTCCGACCCCCAGGCTCCGCAGCAGCGGGGAGGGGAGTGACCCCCCTCTCCCAGCTCTGCCGGCCCCGCGGCCTCGGCCTCCGTCTTCTCTGGGCCTGAGACCGCCGCGAGGCGAGGCCGACGGGCCCCGCTGGCCCGAGAGGCTGCGTGCGTGGCACACATCACTGGTCAGTTTCTCCAGTTTCTCTGCGGGAGCGTCCTAGAAGCAACCCTCCCCGTGTCCCTTAGGAGGTGGCCGCTCGCCCCCGGGGGCCCGAGGCGGGAGGCATCTCGGGATGAGCGGCGTCTCCATCCCGTCCCCACCGTCGCAGGCGGCGCCCGCGGGTCTGCCTTACGGAGGGAAGGGCGCAGAGTGGTTGTCCGCCTGGATCGCCCGCAGGCGCCCTCCGATCGGCTCCCGCCCGCCCGCCCGCGGGGGCAGGACCGCGGGGCCCGCCAGGCACGCAGCCCAGGCGGGGCCCTGGCCGGCCCGGCGCGGCCCGCATTTACCTGTGTTTGCGTCAGGCCCAGCGAGGCGGCCAGCTCGGCGCGTTCGGGCAGGGCGAGGTACTGAGTCTTCTGAAACCTTCTCTGTAACGCAGCCAGCTGAAAGCTGGAATAAATAGTCCTGGGTTTGCGAACTTTCTTTGGTTTGCCATTCACCATCCTCACCTCGGGCTCGGCCACTTCTTTCTCTAAACAAGCAAAAAAACAGAACCGGTTAGAGCTTGTCCGCCCACAATGGCGCTTTTGCAGAACCCTCACCTCCAGGCCTGGGGTTTCTTTCCGGGCAGGCTTCCCTCGGGGTTCCCCATCCTACCCACCAACTCTGCTCCACACGATCCGGGGAGACCCGTGCCTCTCCCCCGAAGGTTGCAAAAGCCAGGTAGTCAGCCCCGGATCAATTCCCTAAGCGGCTCATCCAGCTTCTCCGGGGCTGGTGAAAAGCGCGCTGGACAGCACAGTTCCCTCCTCTGCGCCCCTGTAGCTTCACCCGGACTTGTGTTTACGCTCACGTGCGTTTCTGGGGTGACCATGGCCATCCCCTCCCTGCCAGCGTCTGTTCGGGAGCCCACCGAGGCCGGACCCAAGCGCTGGGAAGATGCTAACCGAGGTCTCCAAAGTTCAAAGTCCCACAAGCAAAACTGTGCTCCTTCCATTCAGTAGCAAGCGTCTGGGCCCTGGCAGACAGAGGGCCGATTATGCAGCCCCCATAATCTCCCTGCCGATCTGGGAGGGCACAGATGTGTCTGGTTTCTTTTACAAATAGACTTAATACGTTCTTGGGCCCAAAGGGGAAAAAAAATCTTTCACTTATGCAGGAAATGCAGAGACACTGAGAAAGGAACAGAAGACGTTCTCCCTCCACGGCTGTCTTTTTTAAAATGTAGTTTAACAAGAAGTCACACATTGAAAAGAAATCGTTGGTGGGGTGTTTTCGTAAAAAAGGGGCAGCAGGTCAGGACGAATTTCTCAAAATCCTGAGTATAGAGGACGGGGAGGAGGGGGGTTTGAGACTTTCTGAACGCATGCTTTCCAAAGGTGCCCTGGAGCCACAAGTCCCCTTTCCCACCTTATCAGAAGTGCCCATCTCTGGAAGGGGCGGAAAGCCTCTCCCTGGTGGTGGTGTGTGTGTGTGTGTGTGTGTGTGTGTGTATGTGTGTGTGTGGCCAGCTCCCGGGAGAGGAAGGGTGGAGGATGAGGGCTGTGGTCTGGATTCTGCCAGAGCAGGGGATGCTAATATTAGCAAGATTATTAATGTGCTGGTGGGAAGAGATCAAACCCGACCAGCAAAACCTCTCCAAGGAGACCTCATGCCTCTCTCTCTTTACCGCCCAAGCTCACTAAACCCTCTTAAACTCTCCGCCTAAGTTTCAAGGCAGCTGAAGAAGGAGGAGGTGGGGAGGAAGAAGACAAATTTTAGGCACCCAAAGGGGGAAAACAAAGTGTTCCAATAACGTGACCCCTCAGCAACCCTCCTCCATCTTTATATGGCTTTTTGTGTTTCTGGCATTGCCTTGGGTAAACTGCAAGGCTCTCCTCCCTCCCCCCTCCCCTTCTTCAGGCAGCCTGCGGCTACCAGGCCCCCACCCCACCCCATCCCACCCGGAGCGCTCCCGGCTCCAGCGCGACGCGACCCTGGCTCCTGGCTGCTTTCAGACAAACCCCGACGGCGACGGAGCCCCGTAGGCAGCCTTCCACTCCCACTCGCATCCACCGAGCACGCTTACCCAAAATTCCAGCAACCAACTTCCCCTGTATTACGCAAACACCACCGGGGCTGCTAGATTCTTTCTCCTCTCCACCCCTACTCCCTTTCCAGCCCAGCCTGCTACCTGACCAGGCGAGCTGGGAACCCAGCGACAGAGCACCCCCTTCCCACCCACCCCCACCCCAGTCCCAAGCAAGGTGCTGGAGGGGAGAGACCCTGGCCCGAACCTCCCACCAGCTCCTCTTACTAAACTCCCCCTGAAGTGCTAGCCTGGGGACCCACTCCCTTCTGCCACATGCGCCCCCCCCCCCCCCTGCAGTGGATGGCGTGGAGGGGGACCCCCAATCTCCCACCCACCCCACTTGGCCCCTCCAGAGCCCGTACCTGGCTGGCTGGCGGCGCCGGGCACGCGGTTGTAGGCGCCGCCGTACTGGTGGTAGGGGCTGGCGTAGCCGTAGTCGGCGTAGGCTTTGGCGGGGTAGCCGCCGGCGGCGCCGCCCGCGCCGGGGTACTGGTACGGGTAGGGGCTGAGCGCCTTGCCGCCGTAGGAGGCCGAGGTAGGAGAGCAGTAGCCGTGCGGGGCCGCGCCCGCGGGGCTGTAGTAGTCGGAGTCGGTGGCCGAGGACTCGGGCAGAGTGGGCGACTCCTGGGACGGGTGGTGCATGGCCGCGGACGTGGGGAACGGGGCTTGGAAGTCGCCGGATCGGATGCTGGGGACCCTCCTGTCAAACACCCCTGTCATCGCTCCCCGGCGGGCGGGCGCGCGGGGCGGGCGGCGGCTGTCCCGGCGGCGGCGGCGGCGGCGGCGGCGGCTGCTGCCCGAGGTGCGGCGGCGGCGGAGTTGCTCTGGTCTAAGCAGACATGGCTGTGGGAGCGAGGGAGGAGGAGGAAGAGGAGGAGGTGGAGGCGGCGGCGAGGAGGAGGCTGGGAGTCGCGGAGGCTGTGTCTCCGGCGGGCGGACTGCTGGCGGAGGCGCAGCACAGCCTTGGTTAAATCCTTAATTGCACGCTTACGCACAGCGGGGTGGATCGGGTTCCATTGGCCAGGGCCTCGGGAGCAGCAGCAACACCCCAACTCGTCCAACTAGTTTTAACACAACAAAGCATTGCTTAAAAAAAAAAAAAAAAAAAAAAAAAAAAAGAGGGGAAAAAAAAAGTAGGGATGAGGGAAGTGTGTGTGTGTGTGTGTGTGTGTGTGTGTGTGCGCGCGCACGCGCGCGCACGTTGGGGAAGGGGGGGTGGTGTCTCAGTGAATCTGTTTTCAGTGAAAACCAAAGAAAACGCAGAAGCCCAAAGGCCAGCTTTGTGATGTCTGGAGACAATGTGTTCCAATCAGCAGCTTCGGAAAGTGCTCATGTTTTGCAGATGAGGTCGGCCACGGGTCCTTCTTTGCTCCCCATCTCTCCAACCGCTTGGGCTTCACCAGGGGGTAGTGTGGAGGTGAACAGTGATAGGCAGTGGAGAATGGGGTGTGTGTGTGTGGGGGGTGATGGAGAAAAGGAACTGAGACTACTTTTTATTGGGGTGCTGGGAGTCAAGTTGTGTCTTATATGCGTTGAAAATTTGCAGTTTTTTTTTGGGGGGGGGAAGGCAAATTTGCAACAAGCACTTCCTTGGCGTGAGATAAGTATTTCCCAGAAAAAAAGCTGGGTAAGGATGCTCATGAATGCACACTTGTTCATTTGGCAGTGAATGGCAGTTGCTGCAACCCTAAGTCCCTTCAATGAGTTTAAAATGTTACTGTCTTAAGCACAAATAACTTAATGACGCCCAAATAGCTGGCCCCAAAGAAGCCAGCAGCGCCACATTTTGTGCAATATTCGTGTCCATCCGGCTGCTATTGCAAGGGAGGGTCTGGAACTCTGTTCAGAAGTTTAAGGGCTCCTGCAAAAGTGAATGGTCCACATATGACCTGTCATCCCAATGGGCCAAATGGGAACCCCAAGAAGACAGAGGTAGACAAGAATGAAAGCCTGTTTGGGAGGTTGGGTGAAGCCCACCAATATTCCCCTCCCAGCCTCATGGGCATGGCACCATTTCCAGGTCCAGGTTCCTGTGCTTCCCTGACTTCCAGACATCTTAGCTCACATGCAAAGGGACAAAAGACGCAGGAACTGACCACTGGGTGTTCATGGTCCAGAGAGTTCGCTTTCATGACACGTCACTCTTGCTCTAGTGATGATCCAGCTGGAGGTATAATAATTTCATCTAACTAAACCTACTGCTCCCCAATATCATGCCCTTAAAGTAGGCAACCCCAGGAACTGGACCTTGATTGGGGCCTTTTCAGCATCCTCCTCCAGAGTGTCTGAGACTAGGAACCTAGGAGCTCCCCCAGACACCCAGGCAGGGAGGGTCTGTTTTCTCATCATCCTGTCCACTCTAACTGAAAGAGGAGCCTCCATTAGTGGTGGCTAGTGTTGGTCAGGTTAGCCTTACTTTCAGTGGAGCTACCCGGCCCAAAACAAGCCGGCAGGGAGAGTTGGGGGTTTGGAACTCTTGGTAGGGTGCCAGGCCCGCTCCAGAACACCAGAGCAGAGCAGCCATGCCAGCACCAGGCCCCTGCCTCTACCGTCTGGGTGCCCTAGAACCACAGCTGTTGTCGCCTTGCCTTTAGGGGTAACTTAGGAGCTGGCACCCTCCAGGCAGGGGAGGGGTGTGTCACAGGGGCTCTCAGCGCCCTCCCCCACTCGCTGGAATCTCCTTCTTGAGACCTGTGCTCCTGCAGAAGAAAATGAAGGCAACAGAAAGGAGAAGCCAATAGTTTCCCAGGACTTCCTTGAGTCTGATGCCCAGAAAACAGAGCCTGGACTGCTGGCCCATCCCAACCCCCGGCTGTGGATTCTGACACTGCCATTCACCCACTAGGTTTAGAGCTAGGGGACATGGAGAGGCTTGACATCCTGGCCTCTGCTCAGGGTAAGTTCTTTGTGCCAATCGAGCCATCCTAAGCACATCCTGCTGCTTAATGACAGGAATCACATCCCCAAGGCAATGCTGGGGAGGGTCCAAGTCGCCTCTCGGCGAAGGCAAGTGGCTCCGGGAGTCGGGTGGCCTTCCACTGGTCCCTCCAGCCCTGGCATTTAAAAAAAATTATTCCTTACAGGTTTAAAAGTTATGACGTGAAGGAAGATAAGGCAACACGGTTATGACAACGAGGGTGTGCCTAGCACTGTGTTTAGACTTTGCTGAGAAGGCAGATTCCAAACAGGATGGGATGGGAAGTTGCAGACTTTGAGCAACCTGGAGACGTTTGGGGTCGGGTGGAGAACACAGTGTTGCAATGTCTAGTGAGTCTTGATTCTGCTAAATGTCCCTTTCCCCTCTGTCCAAAAAAGAGACATTCTCTCTCACATGTTGCACAGGACAGAAAGGAGTGCGGCGGGAGGGAAGGGCTTGGCTTCTTTGTTCCAGTTCCCAGAGTGCTAGCCCTCAAGAGCAAAGGCCGCTGCTGGGTGCAACTTCCAACCCAGTCTGGGGGCGTCTCTGAAGGCCTCTCTCGACTTTGTTCAGCTTCCTCACCAAGTCGACCTAACTGTTCCCTGCCCTTGCCTGAGAGGAGAGCGCTAAGTTCAAAGGGGCTGGAGTCTGATCACGGCCGGGTCCCATTGCCTGTCACATGGCCGCACGCGCTCTGGGTGTCCCTGCCCTCGGGTACGGTGGTGGGCGTTGCTGGTCCGGTGGGTGTTTCTGACCCCAAGGTCTGGACCTTTGTCTTAAGGCCAGTGGACCGGACGCTGCTGCTGCCTCTTTCAAAACCCATCGAAGGGCTCAGCCTTGGAGAAATGGCCCCATGGCACCAAACTTCTCCAGAAGCGCGCTCCCCACGGCGGCGACACGTAGGAAGAACGTGAGTAATGTCATCTCCTAGCAGCCGAAATTTGCAAGGGGCGGAGGTGGGGTGTGTGGTGGGGATGGCGGAGAAACGGACCCTAAAGTGCAAGTCTTTACCACGAGCGCCACCCAGTGTCCGTGCGGAACAGCGCGCAGATAAAGGGCAACCGGGGTCCAAGGCTGGAGTAGGCCGGCTGGTCCTCCGGGTTTGAGCCCACGACTGCGTGGTTTTCCTTACTCCCGAGAGATTTTTCTTCCTTTCGTTTACTCCTTATATTCTTATACGCTTCCTTCCTCCGCACACGAGATCACTTTTTTTTTTTTTTTTTTTTTTTTTTGTCTTAGCAGAGATCTGGGGATTTGGGGGAGTAGCTCGTTCTGTTCAGCCTCTTGTGGTGACTGGAAACAGTCCAGGCTGACCCTTGTTTCCTAGCGTTCTGAAAGCTAGAAAGACGAGATGCTGGAGAGGCTGCTGGTGAGCCGCTGCTTGTCTAAATTGGCAAGTTAGTGCCCCCTGTATTTGCAAGGAGAGTACCTCGAAAGTGGAGAGGGGAGATACTTCAGGAACTGCATTAACTCAGCTTTCTCCCTCTGGCCCAATCTGGAAACCTGTGTATTTACAGGTGTGTCAACAGCAGAACTTCTTTTCCTTTGAGCTTGAAGCTCAGACAAATCAGTGCACCTGAAAATATTTAATTTATGAACTTAAGATCATATATATATGTCACTGTTTTGTTTATTTAAAACATTGTGCACATCAATTCTATGCACATAAAGTCAGGCAGGTAAAGGACCCCAGAACATGATACTAGTATTCTTTACATATGTAAACTTGATATAAATAATGTTTCTTGGCTATATAATTTTTATTTTATTTTAGAGAGGGAGGGATGGAGGGAAAAGAAACACTGATCCTTTCTCACCCTAACACAGGAGAGGATGTAGAGGAGGGGGTGGGGGGGACATGGAACCAGCAACCTAGGTATGTATGTGTCTTATGGGGATTGAACCTTCGACTTCCCAGTGTAAGGGAGGACGCTCCAACCAACTGAGCCACGTCAGGCCATGCCAGCCAGGGGTCGGCTTTAGAATTTTTATCCGTGGACTACCTTTCTCTCAAAAGTTCTGTCCCTGGGCTGAGGTTTACTTTACTTTTTATTTGCTATGTTTTATCCATTTCTTTTCTTTATCCAGCAGGGGAATGCTCTCAGAGCAGTTCACTGTCATTATGTCCTTATCGATCACTATCCATCTAAGAGCACTTTTCATCCCAGATCTCAAATACAAACAAAGCTGGTTTCATCAGACATTTGTGGATCTAGACCTGAGTAGTCATTTTATTTACAATGGAGCTTCATTTTTCTTTGAGCTAAGACCATTTAATAACTTAAGGTAACAGCCCTGAAATATTCAATTTGATGTTTATCTAAAAGAGACACATTTTTATGAATAGGAGTGATGATTACAAAAAGTCATGAAGGTTTTCAAAAGGATTACAAATTGTTGGTCATTGGTTTGGGCAACTCAAAGCTGAATAGCCTTTGTGTCTTCCTGTCTCCCAACAGAGAACAAGATGCTCTGGCTTGGAACTGACATTCAGAGGTGGTTCATCTTCTGAGTTACCAAAACTCTTTAATTCTCCACCTCATTTAGAGTTCTTCCCATGCACTTGAGGCTGAATTAACTTACCCGTATTTTCCAGCGTATAAGACGACCCCCTAATTTTACAGTTAAAACATAGGTTTAGGCCTATATTCGCTGTATAAGACTACCCCCCACTTCAAAGAAAAGGCTTACTTTGCAGTCAAGATCTGCAGGTAATTTTTGTGCAATTTTGGTCTTTTGCCCCCAATTTTTGGTTGACTTTTTTTCCAGTTCAAAAGTCGTCTTATACACCGGAAAATATGGT